CCAGTTACATTGCAAAAGCCATGTCGATTTCACTGTCATTGACCTGTTAATGTATTAAAATTGACAATCTATTTCTCCTGAAAAGGTTCCTCGTGCAAATTGCTGCACTAAATGTGGAAGCTTATGGACTGGAGTGGGTTACCAGAATGCAGTCAGTTTCCCCAGACCTGCTCCCAAACCCATATGTTCTTGGATGTAAGAATTCAGCCCATGTTGTTGCTTATTTCTGTTTCCTGTGACAAACCCAATGTTTAGGTTAATATTAATATTATGAAGCATCCTCTCAAAAAGAAACTATTATTGAAATACAACTAAGAAAATATATCTTCAAATGACGTGTACGGCTTCTTCCAAACACAGTGAAATTAAAGACTTCACACAGAAAAATTTAATTTACACAAACACGTTTTTGATCACAAAAAAATTTGAAGGTGGGCTCTTTTCTCCCATTCAGGGTCATTTTCACCAGATTTTAACGTTTTTTTTATCTGAAAGCATTGTGTTGAGGTGTTTTGTATTTTCCATAGAATCAGCTGCAGAGGCAGGTTTTTTATGATGCTTGCAAGACATAATTACCTTCAACAGTGCACAGTTTTCACAATCAGCCTACCACAGCATTCACAAAGCAAAATATTTACAAAAGCGTGTGACATTTGTTGTCCATATTGATTTTTCTCCTAAGCAGGTAAGGAGATTTAATTAAAATTAGAATTTTACAAAAAGCAATATTTATGAAGAAGGTACATGTTGGCTTTGTTCTAAAGAAGCATTTAAAAGAGCCTTGACGAATTGACCTATCGTTCTATTTCCTGCCTTTCAATCGGGATGATCCTTTGCTGGAAAAGGCTTTTATAACACATTCTCTTAAGCGATTGCAAGTTAGCAGCAGCCTCTTGTGAACAAAGACCGCTCCAAATAATGCGAACAGCTAAAGAGAGAGAAATATTCCGAAGAATGTTGACAATTGTGAGGATGAGCTTTATATGACAGAGGAATCATTGCAATGACTTGCTTTGAGTTCATGCAATTTAGAAGCTTCTGTGAATTAATGTTTATTGTTACCATGGGAAGAATATTTGAATTTAAAATATAAAGGTCTTATTTGCAATTATTGTTTTAACAGAATGGAATTAATTCACTGAGGTTATGTGATTTTGACCAACACAAGGGCTCCCAAACTCTAAGGCTTTTGACTTTAGTTCTACTACAAACTTGAATGTTGAAAATTTGGATAGTTACTGAAACAAGCACAGGAATTGAGATGTCTGTATTAATGCCTGTTTGTTGCATGAATGCAGGTAGCATGCCATCTTTGTGCTGTCTGCTTATGTACATGTTTTCTGCTTGTGACCAGTGATAAATGCATAAATAGTCCTAAATCGCTAACATTACTTAAAGCCAGCCTGCACCTCTCAAAGCAGAAGTGCATTGTGGCTGGAGTAGATGCTGAGAGTCTTTTGAGAGCAAAATCTGAGGTTGAATGTGAAAGAGACTAGGCACCCATACTTTTTCTTGATGGTGCACTACATGGTAGAAGAGATGGAAAGGAGGAAAGGCTTCCTTTTCCTGCAGGGAACAGAAGGCCCTCCAGATACACAGTTTCCTGACAGTGTGAGGAGTTAACTATGGAAATCAATGCCTTAATTTTAATGCCAAGTACCTGAATGCAGTGCTGTCGGAAACACACAGACCGCATACAGGTGATCAAGATCAGTGAATGTGTCTTCAAATCCCATATGATAGTAACTGCATCTCTAGTCTCAGATACTACTAAATGCATTGGGAGACCTGCCAGGCACTCTGTGGTCAACATCAATGAACATGGGGGACACCAAGGCTCTCCATTCTGGAACAGGTCCTCAAATCTATTCTCAGACGAGCAGACTCACTCATATTTTACATCACAACATAAATGATTTTCACCAAAGATATAAGTTCTGCAGTGGGGTGAAGTGGTGAAGTTCAAACTGTTCCCATCTTGTACATGGATATCAATATTCAAAATGGTTTACAGGGTGTCACAAAACCATAGCACTGTATTCTTCAAAAAAATGACTAGGATTGATGAGGTGTTTGCTGTGGGAGTGAGGGATGAATGGGAGAAGCTAAGAGAGTGGAGCAGTAGCTCCATGAATCAGGAGCCTGTTTGCCTCTTTCAGGACAATATCACTCTTCCTCATCTCTGTCGATCTGCCCTTGCTGTTTCCTATTAGCCAGACTGTGGCCACCGATGCTGAGCAGTATGGTCTGTGGCTGGACTTATTCAGCCTAGTGTTACTTGAGACTATCCTGCAAAGGATCTCCACACTTCTCAACTGAAAATAAGCAGCCTTCCAATAGCCACGCTGCAGAGAATTCAACAAGAGTTCTCGGACAAGTAAAGGCACATTGAGGACAAAGGCACGGAAGAGAATACACAAGTGCCACTTATTTGCAATGTGGTGGTGTTATAGGATTCATTTTGATTATTTATTTTTGTAGTGGCCTTTACATTGCAGCCAAAGGGCATCCCCTTCAGAATGCCCTAAAGCCCATTTACATGATTGACCCTGGCACCCAGAAGGTAACATACCAACATGAAGGCACATTTCCAACCGCTAAGGTGCCTGTCTACACCTGGCACTAACAATCCCGTACCACTACTGTCCTTCCACAAATCTTCCCTGTCCCCCCTCCCCGAGCAGCTTGACAACCCACAATGCCGTTGCCTTAGGTGTGGCTGGCCTCCACAGAGGAACTGTCTCTCTCACCGTTTTCTAAAGTCAAAAAATGGTTTGTAAATGAAGTGTTCCCGGGGAATTCTCTCATAACCTGCCTTGGATCCCAGTCTTGTAATTTAAAATCAACCATTACCTCTCTAACTGCACTTCCTTAAACTGCACAGTGACCGTGTCCTGACACAAGCTATCCGTGACCCTCTCAGTTTTGGGAATGCACTGAAGTGTCACAACTGCTGCTCACACACCCAACACCTAGAGCTCAAACTGTATCAGCCAGGGGCCCCTCCTGCACACACAGTCATTCAGACTGTCAGGATTCCCTACATAGTCCAGGATGCGCAAACCACGGGCCAGAGCTCCCAGGCATATTATAACTAAATAGAACATGGATGCTTATTTAAACAAAAGATTTTCTAGTCTATACTTATGTTCTGACTCCCATTCAGGTCCTCTACATGTCTCTTCACTTCTCTGTGAAAGTCCTCACCTCACCCTCTCCTCTCAGTGACACTGACTGCCCATCACTGGGTCCTCACCACACCCCCTCCTCTCAGTGACATTGACTGCCCATCACTGGGTCCTCACCTTGCCTGCTCCTCTCTAATATATATAGAAAGCAGCAAAATAGAATTGTAGCAAAATCTCAGCAAAATCTAACCTGTAAGGTAGATCATGATCTCTTTAAATAATGCTGCTCAGGGAGCTCTTTTATCCTTCTTAAAGTGTTCAGTCATAGAAGCATAAGAAGAGACACAGGCTGGAGCTATGAGCTCCAAAGCAATATTATTGTTGAAGCAATGTCGTTTGATTTTTGACATTATGAGCTTCTTACTCTGCTTCCTTCCAACAGGTGTTACCTGTGCACCAACACTTTCTGTTTCATAGCATCTGCTGTTCTTTGTTTTTTTTTTCAATAACAGGACCGTGTGAGAAGGAAATATTGGCCTGAAGCATGACAAGGCAACCATTGTAGGCTCACATTGAGAAAGGGGGAGGGGTCCACACTTGACTGCTGGTGAGATCTCCCCCAGCTGGACTTGTTCAGGTTGCTGGTCATCCATGGAGGGGGCTCCCCTTAATGATCATGTCCAGACAGATGTGGAATTATAAACATTAAAAACACTCTGACCTTTGCAACCTCTACCTCTCCATTATGAATCAACTCCAACTGTCGCTGGTGGGCTGCTGCTGGGACATTTTCTTGGGAGCTCCTGCCATTAATCGGCCTGGCCCTTTAAAACCTGTGTCAACATGATTTGATCTGGCCCTGACTTTCGATTCCTAACCATGCACTGAAAGTCCAGTCCCATGTTCCAACATGGCTGTAGCTTTGATTTGTCAAGTTTTACCATTACCCAGCTGTTCTTGTGTACATTGTCCCCTATCAATGAAACCTAAGATCCTGTACTTTTACAAAATGTGTAATTATAAAGATTTGTTTGTGTGAATCCTTAAATCTCTCTTTCTCAAAATTTAACCATTTAGTAAATATATTTTCTTTTTGTTCATCCTCTCAAACCTTACCAACTTAAATTTCTGTGCAGTAAATGCCATCTGTATCAATAAAAAACGTATCAGATTAAAAAGTGCTACTGCAAAAACTGGAACAAAAATACAATGTTTCTTCCCCTGTAAGAATGCTATTCCCCATAGCTTCACGTCTAAATTTTCTTGAATAATGCTTCTCTGCACAGGCAGCATAAACATATGAAACAATTGTGCTTTGTATCACAGATTTTAAAGGGTAGAAGGTGAACCCTTATATGGGGGAATCGTTCAATCTAATGATGTCTCTGACAGTTAAATTAAAGTTACAAATTATCAATGGCCCATTCTGGTCCAACTCATCTTGTATATCTCAAAACGTTAGCTTAAATACAACCACTACGTTCATTTCTAAGTATCAATAGTTTTAACTGTATTTGACTTTGGGTTTGGCCTGAGTGTGGAAACTGGGAGTGCTTTCCTCTCGGGTGAAGCCCAGCAGGAAGAATATTGGGAAAATGAACTTAATGTGCAATATTTATATACAACAGACTCTGTTGCATTGAACTTCAAAGACCTGGGTCTCCAATACGGTGAACTCTACAAAATAATAGTATCATTAATGTAGAGAAATTGAATGTTGTTAAAATGTAATGGATTTGGATCATTTTGCTAACTGAGAAACATGATAAGTAGATTAGCAATGTTACCTTTCAAAAAAATTTAACACGTATACGTCTGAACTCAAATAACCATGTTACTAAACTCGTGCTAAATCCTTTCTGTCCCTAACAGATGTCAAGGTTTTAGAGAACAGACATCTGATTGAAAGCGTTCAAGAACAGGTCCATGCTGCCCTCTTGGACTACACCATGTGCAACTACCCACAGCATGGGGACAAATTTGGACAGCTGTTGCTGAGGTTACCTGAAATCCGTGCAATAAGTATGCAGGCAGAGGAATACCTGTACTACAAACACTTAAGTGGAGAGGTGCCATGTAACAACTTACTGATTGAGATGCTTCATGCCAAGAGAGCTTAAGGCCTTGATCTATGAACTACATAACAGCCACAATTTTCCAAAGGAAGGTTGTTGATTCCTATATAAATATATAAATACATATTATATTCCTTTATATTACAGAAATAATGTAATTAGAAAATAACAAATGATTTTTAAATATACAGAAGCTATGTAATCTTGGAATACATGCATAAATAGTATGTACAAAGTTTTTCAGATAAGAACTTTTTTCTTCCCCTTTCATGGTAAGAATTTTGACTTTATCTTAAAACAGGTTGTTTCTTTATAACCACAGCGCAGTCATTACTAGAGTCATTAGTAGTCGTTAGTATTTACTGCATCAATGAAACTGCAAACCAGCAAAAGAATGGCATCTGCATTTTAGAAAAACTGTACAACATGGCAACTTTTTGAACTGAGGTTACATGAAGCATATCCATTGGTAATGACTTAATGTAAGGGACTACAATTTCCATTTGTTTCTCTTGAAACAATAATGCACATTATTAAACAACACCTTCTTAAAAACTTCAAATTATAGTAAAAATGAATGTAAAATAATATGCAAAATTAAAGTCAGCACAGTGATATTTTTTGAGCCCTCAGCAACTGAAAGCTGAGAATATCAGGCTAAGAACCATTGTGTCTTGAAGATAAATCATTTGAGTTTGCTTTATACACTTCTGCAAGAAAACTGTGCACACTTGTACTTTAATATTTGAAAGCTGAATGCACTTGTATTTTTTTCAAAGAGTTGCAAACAGTTGAGAGTAATGTATTTGTTATTTTTATGTTTCAAGTGTGTTTTTCTGAGGGATATAGTAAATTGTGGAAGATGAGAAAATTACAGTTAAAAAACGTTTTACGGGAATTAATATTTAATTAGTACACAAATGCTAATATTGTCAATTTTTAACATATTCTTTGCATAATAGCTATACTGTATTTACAGTATTCTTGTATTGTGTTTTCTTGCATGTTTTCCCTCTTTTCCTTCTAGTGAAATAAAACTGATCAGATTTGTACACCAGAGGTGTTCCTATTTATAACTCCTTAAGTGCCAAATAAAAACTTTAAGTTATCCAACCCAACAGATAAAGGAGGTTTTGTTCCCTTTACAATGTCATAATGTTAACATAGCTACAGCTGTTTTGTGGGAGTCACCAATATCGCTGTCTATTAGAATGATAATTCATACAGGTGAAAAATTAAAATGGCACACACATGCGAACAAATTGGCTATGGTGCACAGACTCTGTAGTTGCTTGAAAATTTATGCTAAGGTTGTAGACAGTGTTCCCTCCCAGTGAATAATGTATATATATCAACTGGTGTTTTTTTTTTAAATCTATCATTTATTAACAAAAATACAAATCTTTTGTGACACAAAATTTATTATTCCATATAATGTCATCAGAAAACAACTGTTTCTTTTCCAATCACTTTTATTTAACATGGCAGCACTAGCAAACAGGTGGATCGGTGTCTGATTTCAGCTCGGGAACATATTAAATTTTTTAGTCATTATAACTAATGAAGGTTGAAACTTTTGTATTCCATCGTGATTAGACCAGCAATCTATAAAATATTTTGCTGTTTTTTTTAATTCCTCAAGGGAATCATAAAAGCACTGTCTGGAAAGTTGGGCAACAATATATTAATTTGTCCCCTACACTTATAATCAGCTACAAAACAATTTTTTTTTTACAAATAGAAATTTGTAAATCTATAATATGAAAGAATTGGGGGTAAAAGGGGTAGCTATTTTATTTAGTTCTGTTGAGAAAATTTGCTGAGGCTGTACTGCAATTGGGATTTTTGCCTACACAAAGCAGACTGCGTATTGTGCCTTTCCTTCAATGTGTCCTCGATATTTTACCAATAGCTGCAACTGCTATTCTATCAATTGTGCAAAAGACAGCAATGAGCTTTTGTCTCACAAACTGAATGGAAGATGTTCTCCAGTCATTGTTCAACTGTGAACTTGTGTTTTAAGTTTATTTTTTAATTTTGCAATTATTTTAAATTAATTAATTTCAACTTTTTTATGTGGTCTGCATGCATTTCATTGATACATATAAAATTGTGGTCATTAGACAAAAGTAACAGAAGTGCCAGTGGATGACGCATGTTCATACCTTCATTATAGAATTTTATTCAAGCAAGTTGACCATTGTGAAAGAGGAAGTTACATAGGAGAGTGACATAGAATTTCTTGCTGAATTATTATAGTTTTATTTACTCCTGTATACTTCACATTATGTATGTGTCAACTGGAACATTAAGAAGTGGCGAATGTTTGGTAAACTTTGATATTTCATTCAGGGAAAACAATTTGCTAGATTAAATGAAACAGCAAACAGTTACAGAATGTGAAAGGAAGGACCATTTCAAAGTAGATAGTAAAAGGTTCTCATCCTGATTGTTTCTCAGTTTGCTGATTTTTAAATTTCATAGTATATTTATTGTCATTTATTTTTATTCACTTTTTCACAAATGACTTAATGGTTAAATAAATCACATCACCACAATCACAAAATCCTCACAATGTGGATTCTTTTTACATTATGTCTCACTAAATTTGTTGAGACATCCTGATCTATTATTTTATTATAGATGTTTAGATGCCTGCTCTGTCATAGATCAAGAGATAACAAGGTGTAGGCTGGATGAACACAGCAGGCCAAGCAGCATCAGAGGAGCAGGAAGGCTGACGTTTCGGGCCTAGATCCTGCTCCTCTGATGCTGCTGAGCCTGCTGTGTTCATCCAGCTCTACACCTTGTTATCTCAGATTTTCCAGCATCTGCAGTTCCTACTATCTCTGTAATAGATCAATTTCATTTCTATTTCTGCAGAGTATATTGCCATGAAAAGTAAATATGTAGCTTTAGGATTTTTGCTGTGTTGAAACCAATTATAATGGTCAAATTATTCTAACATGACTTTTTTTCTGGTCTTTCATCATTTTGCACAGGCTTAAAATGGACATTTTACTGTATGCTTTACAGCTACTGGCTTCAATCTCAGGTTGAAGTTCAGTCCTGAACTTTCACTGATAATTTTCAAATATTTCGTTCTGAATGCATCATTCATATTTTTTTTTCTATACCAATCAGAGATAACTTGCCAATTTTCCAAATCTTCAGCCATGTTCCAATACATAAAAGTAATGAAATCTCATCAGTCATTACAATGTAACTATGGAAACTGCAATCTTTTACAAGTCAATGCTGTAAAAATTAAAACATTTACACAATGATTTTTTTCTTTCCATTTAACATTTTGAACACATCTTTGAAGTACGTAACATGCATCGCCACTTTCCTAAACAAATCCATATTGGTTACATTACGTAGACTATACCAACACTCAAAAACATAATGTTAAAGGACATTGTTTTGATATTTCATTAGGATTTAATTTCAAATATACTATCCTCTTACAATAGATGCAGGGTGGAAGGCAAGGGAAGAAATCAATGGTTTTTGGGAGAAGTGGCGCTGATGGGTTGATTGGTTGTTTCTCATTTGGACTTAGAATTTAATAATTCGCAACATAATTCCATTTGTTTGAAAGTTCATGACATTGTGAATTGCTATGTTCTTGTGGATGAACATATTACTGCGAAATAATTATATTCACTTAAAATAAATGCATTTCAAACTTCACGAAATATCAATTACACAATTTTAATGTGAATAAATTCTAACAGATTTAATGAAACCAAAGCCATTTCATACCTTCATCATCACCTATCATTTTGCTCCTTTGTTGGTAATCTCTACCCTTAGTTCTTTTAAAAATTGCTACTAAATAGAGAGGAAATTGCAGGATCAGATTGAATAATGGAAATCTCAAATTCATCAAATGTATCAGAACATTAATTCTCAGGATATGACTATACATTTAAAACTATAAGTATATAAAAATAACTGCTCAGTGAAGAATGTTTGATATTTTTAGAGTTTAAGTCTTCAGATTTCAAGGATTAATTTGGAGACCGATTTTTGTCAAAAACAAAAATAAGATCTTGCTTAAAAAATATTTTCTTCTGTACTTCCCTTCATCACAATTCAACATTTCTGGATGATTTATATTTAAGAACCAATACAACAAAGCAATGTTCTGCAACTGCTATCAGTATAACTATGTCAAAAATGTATTCTGAGCAATGTGTCTTAATGCATTGAAACATTTTGTTTTAAGTGCAACAATTTTAAAAGATAAGAAATGTCGACTAGTTATAGTGTTTATTATGATTTCATACATATATTTTGGAAAATAGTTTTTAAAGATATTTTGGAATGGCAACAGAGCAGAATACTTCATTGATTCTTCTAAGAATATCTGTATTTTAATCACTGCCACAAGTGACTGTGTTATGTAATATTTTCATTAAAGATGTATTGCAATAAATTATGTTTTTTTTATTTGCTTGGAATAGTGTATTAAGTATAGTTATAAAGAACACTGGGCTGAATCCTCTTTCTTTAGCTAAGTACGAGTTGCGTTGAGATTTTTAGAGGGATTCTCATTGCAAGGTGCAGAGAGATTTCTTGCCATATCTTAACAAATACATTTCATTAACTACCTACCTTGTTCCATAGTGCCACTACATCTGATTCTATTCCCATCTTATCATTGTTCCCACAACAACTGGCTACTCACTGGATATCTGCAAAGAGATAGGCATCCCTTGTGCCTGTGACATCTTTAACGGCCCATTGTGCAGCTGGTTAAGGACTGTCAGCCCAGAGCTGTCCTGCATGTTTCCTGACACTTGCTCTGGACGTGGCTGATGGGGAGACTGGCATGCCAATTTATGGGCTGTGTTCTGGAGGTCCTGCAGGACACGATGGTGCAGGGGTTGGATGTCCTCTTCCTCCAGGACCAGCACTGGAGGAAGAAGATCAATGACCTCTCTACCAGCAGAAATGACACCATCTCGCTCACCCCAACCCTATACGCCACCAACTCGGTATACCCTATGCACCACTTGCTCAGAACAAATCCCTACCTG